CATCATTTCTGCAATGACTTCGTTTTGGTCTCCAAACAAGCTGAAAAACAAGGTGTCTTCACCGAAAATTTCATATAAGTTACATCCAAGTGCCCAGACATCAACCGCTTGACCAAGAGGTTCTCGAAAAAAGGTTTCTGGCGCAGATAGTAGGGCAGACGTCCGTACTCTCTTTCGTTCCTCATGCACTAGCGACGCATGGCCGAAATCAGTAATCAAAACGCCAGCATCCCAAATTTCCCCTGATGGCTTGGGGTCAATTGCAGGCCAAACGCAATATCTAGGTGGCGTGAGGCCAGCCGGGCACTTGGAGAGCTCCTCGATCCCAATCTTCCCTGGCTCTCCGAGTTTGCCATAGATTTCCCCGACAGTATCACTACTGCAAACACCAAGAGCTCGAAGTAAGACATTGTTCAGGTGAAAATCTATGTCAAACATTAGCCAGCCAGAACAGAAAAAAAAAATAAAGGCCTGAAGCAAACTTACCCCCGTGCACCACTGAGCACGAATGAACATAATCCAGACCCAGCAATAGCTGAGCGCAGATAGCCCTTGCAACATTCAACGGGAATTTTCGAAGCGAATAATCCACGTCTTTGGTCTGCGCGATACTGCAGCCGACCGGCTCACCCACCAGGCAAAGATGACGTCCATTCGGACCGTCTATGACGAACCTATCCCACAGCGATGGAACGTAGCGCTTCCCCGGGTGGTTCGGGTCCCCAGACCCCAGTACATCCAAGATTCTGAGTTCGTTGTTGTTCCCAGACGCTTCCGCCGTCAGGATCTTTACCGCGACGTATCGATTTTCGTGATGGTCTCTTGCAAGCCACACCGTTGAAGCTGTCCCGTAGCCAAACTTGTGAATGATCTCGTAGCGGCGGTTTGAATATGTTTCGCCGATATGGGTTGGGTGGTAGCCTCCTGGGCGGTATCCGTCTCGGGGCTCCACCCCTTCGTACCATTCGATGATGAATTCCGAACTTTGTCCGTCGGGCCTCTCTGCGGGTTGTTGCTGGGTAGGACGTGAGCGGGATGATGAGAAGGTCCTTTGAGGTTTGAGGAGCAATTGCAAGGTAGTTGACCGATCAGGTTTTAGGCATCTCCGTGAAGTCAAGAATGCGGGCCGTGGAAAGGATCTGGAGATGTGAAAGCATCGTGACAACATGCCCTTGTTTCGAACGGCAAATGATCGCTATCAGGATAGATCCTTTCCCCAAATAATCCTAGGTTCAAATTCTCGAGCTTCGAGGAAGTCGTTGTTGCGAGTATTTTGATGTAGCCACACGGGTGATGTCTGCAAAGCCACTATCAGGAACGGGCTAGGATTGTAAGAGCTATATTCAACCCCGATATGAGTATCATTGAAGAGATTTACAACTACCACCTGGAACTAGAGCTATCTGGAGCGACTACACTCTGGTTTCCTGTCCCATCCCAACGAGTATAGGATCTGGAACGAACAGCTCGACGCATATACGATATCATATTAGGAAATTAAATACAAAAATCCTCATCCCATTCCCTACTAAATCACCCCCAAAATTAATCCATCAAATTACAGAAAAGGTCACGCAAACCGACGCGCTGGTTTCGCCTTTGCAGCCGCTTTCTTGTACGGAGTAACACAGGGAGTATTCACCTCCTCTCAAAACAAAGCCAAACATCAGTCTATTACTGGCATGGTTCCAAGAAGCAGGCCAATATGAATAAACGCCAGACCTAAAAAAGACATTGACAGTGAATGCAAGGCTCGGTGACGGAAAAAAAAAGAGTCTTGAAAGGGAGGAAAAAGGAGGAATGTTTCCACCACCAGGTAGTTTGAAAACTCCGGTCTCAACAAACCCAGAAGAGCCGACCAAATGCTAATGGAAAAATGGAGGGAAAGAAAACTTATCTCCTGGGCACATACGAAAATAACACAGAAAAAGAAGTATCCAAAGTCGTAACATCTTTTGGTAGGACCGTCTCTAAAGCCCGTCTGAAACAAGTCGATAAACAGTCGGAGAAAAGAACTGCGCACCAATGTTCACCGAGTCCGAACCACAAAAAGAGAATTGCGATAAGCACAGCAGTCAGGACTTGTAAAATCTCCGGTGGCCACAAGTCCTAAACACAGGGTAATCAAAACAGTCTAAATAATTTGATGAAATTCTGTCGTGTGGTATCTGTAGTTGGTACGATGGTATAACGGTAGAAAAGAGCTCGAAGGCTTGAAGTAGTGGCGAGTACGTTACTCTGACGCTGAGTTTGTCATATATTTCCTCGAATAGTCGATTGTATAATTGTCATCGCTACGACCAGTCATGAAATTCATCGGGAGAATCGCGCGGCGGCTTGCCCCTTCTCCCAGTGTTGGTCGAGGGTCTTGGTGCAGTAGAAGGCCCGGTTTGCGGCCCCTGGTTCGTGGGGGACCCCCTCTTTGCTTCTTCCAGACTTCGTCGCGAAACACCGAAGTCGCTCATCGCGAACAAGAGAGGTTCATCTTCATCAAGATTGGACGGCGCACCCAAGTGACGGTGAAAACTAAATCTATGCCCACTCCCGCGCCGCGTGTCAGGAGCGGCAGAGATTCCACTGTTACTACCACTACCAGTATAGGCTTCGCGATCTGTGTCTGAGAAATTCGGAATGGCGCTGCCACGACCTAGCTGCTGGCAACAGATCCGTGCGATTGACCAAATGATCCACGGCCACGAAGGTGAGCAAAGCGAGGTTGGTATTGGCGGTGGGAAGAGGCGCCCGGAGTTTCTTCATTTCTCGAAGGCGATTCATTTACGGTTGATTGTCCTGCATTGGCTTCTGGCTGGCTCTGTTCTAACGCGTTTGGGTCCGAGGTAGGGTTGGACTCATCTTGTTGGCGTACCAATTCGCTCAGGCTGAGAGGGGAACGCTCTTCAGCACCCAAACTTATACTGCGCATCCCGAAAGGTAGAAAATCAGCCAGGTCATCTTCAATGACAGTGCTTGAGCGTCTTTGAGCAGCAGAACTGGACCGGCGGAAACTAGAAATGTACGGCCGGGGAGATGTTGGGATATCAATAGCGTTGGCGTTCGGCCCTTCAAGTTGGCTTCGCGGCTCGTTGTTAGAGGGTTCTTCGGATGGAGAGCTACAAGATTCATGTGATAGCCGATGCTTTCTCTCGGGTCGATCGCGGTGGGAATAGTCGACAACGCTGTTTGAGCTAAGACGGGAAGGAACTGCAGGGAGATGTAAAGTATGGGGAGATATTGCTTTTCCTGGTGAAGAAGAAACGGATGTCGAAGCCCCAATCACAGAAGTGGTGGGGTTTGGAAGTTGCTTACTCGAAGAGGCGGACGATTGCTGAAGAACCAGAGAGGACGATAGAGAATCCGATAGCACGGCGTTTGAGTCTCTCATCTTTTGGAATCGGGATAAAGCGGCTGAAGTACGTTTCGTGCTCTTATCAGTTGACTTTGTATCTTTCTTAGTCAAGAGATCCTTTCTTGATTCAAGCATTTTGAGAAAGTCCGAAATATTATCCTCATCAGCTTGTAGAGATTCTGAACTTCCAGCAGCGTGGTCTGCAGGAGTCCCAGAGATTGGGTGGACAATAGAAGAGCTCACGCTGACTCTGCCACTTGAAATGTTATCGTCATCAGTTTTGCTGGCACCTCCGGAAGACAATCGACCCCTTCTGTGACTAAAAGAGCTGCTGAATTTGGAAATGGGTGCTGGCCTAGGTGATCCTGACATGGAAGACACAATTGCACCTTCGGACCCTTGGGTGACCCTTTTTGACGTGGTAGGCGTCCTAGGCGGTGGAGGCATAGTTTTAGCAGAGGCAATGTCCATCGGTCCCACTCTTGCACCCAAACTTCTGGGTTGAGATCCGAGTGGGCTTTCGAGCGGGGCGGGGGATGCGGAGAGCGTAGGGGTTTTAAACGGCTGAATAGAGATCGAAGGAGCGCCTATGGATGGGGCGATTTCCTTCAGCGGAAAGTGCAGCAACTCGATTGGGGTGACTCGGCCGTGGGGAATTGGAGGGTCGAGTAGGTGAGCTCGCGGAGCCAGCCGCCAATTCTCTAGCAGCACGGAGGGCAGATATGGGGCTCGCACCTGTCGTCGGGCCGACTTGATGGAATGTTGACATGCTCCCGTATGCCTGCCCAGGGTCAGGGTGACCCACGGTTCGTTTCTGTACCGGCAACGAACCGGGTTCTTGCCCGGGAGCGGCATATTTGTCTTCAGACGGAAGTGATGGTCTAAAGAAGCCTTCATCCACGCCCATGAACCTCGAGCTGAGCAGCGCTTCTGAATCATCGACTCGGAATTCGCAGTTGGTCCGGTAAGTGACTAGAGCAGAAAACGCCCCGGCGGGAGATTCAGTCACGCCGAATGAATATGTATCGACGACCGGATCTTTCCCCGGATACAGGGGAGCTGTCAGAGCATCAGTTGCGGGTGATATCTGGCCTCGAGGTCCCTCAAGGATTCGATATTTCAGCGATAGTGCAGGGTGCATTCGGACTTTCGAGTGGCGTTTGGAGTATTTCCAAGCTGGGAGCAATTTAGAGTAGGCGTACAATGACCTGAACACGACAATACTCTTTTTATAGACGGTTGGGAGTATCGAACCAAGGTCAGGGGGTAGCTCGTCGGGACCAGAGCCAAGCTCAATACGCCATCTTTCCAGGATAACCCCCCGTCTTGAAGATCTGGAACTGTCAAGGCAGCCATGAGAAGCAAGAGCTTCAACCACATCCCATCGCTTTCCCGAGTCATCGATAATCACCAGGCTTTGGTTATTGGTCAGCTGTGAGGTGTCCAAATAGATTTCAATGAGCATCGGCCGAGGTCGGCTATTGGTGCAGTTGCTGCTCTTCCAGAGGCTTAATTTGTCTCGCAGATCATCGGTCTCGTCGACTTCTACATTGAACTAATCAGGACGAAATATTAGCCAACGCCTACAATAAGTAGCCGGACGGACATCCACTTACCCATTTGTTTGTTCGTACTACCCCGTTTTGCATCGAAGGGCCAAGTTCAACCCGCGAGTGTAGTATAATCAAGGCTGCTTTTGTATGGTAATTCTACATCTAGGCGTCAGTGCCACATTCAGAGGGCAGTGGATGCAGAGCTACGTCGGCAAGGGTCTCTCACCTGTATCATCTGATCGAGCTTTTGGGCAGGAGATTTCTCCGTAGAGTCGATGCTCTGTTCTTGGTCGGAAGAATCCATCTGTCTGTCGATCCCCAATCCTCTGGCAGTATTTGGTCCGAAGCGGTCAAACTCTCGTTCTCGGGTGGCAGGCCTATTTAGGGTTGGACGAGGGGAGTAGGCTGGCGAAGCCACCGCCGATAATGATCGACGATGTTGATGCATATTGGGTAGGAATGTCAAAGGGAGACGGAGGACGAAGGTGGCTCGAGGTCAAATGGATGGACGTCTCGCAGGCGGGCAGAGATCGGAGGAGACGAGGGCAAAAGCTAGGCAGGGGGTATAAAAAAGCCGTGTTGTGGAATCCGGTGGAAGGCCATGTTAAGGTGAAGTCGGCAAGAGGAAGAAGAGCGGTGATGCGGCGTGGGTGCGCCTCAGGCTCGCAGGAGGTTGAGCAATCCGGGAGAGGAGCACAAGCGACTGCTGGCATGGGGATGTTCCGATGTTCAAGGACTCAGGCAGCAGCCGACGAGGGACATTGCCGACAAAGATGGCTCGAAGCGCAGTTGGACGCTGTTCTCCGCCCGTGATGGTTGGATGGACGGGATCGTTTCCCAAGCAATCTCAACTAAGAGTACATAGTTTTGTCACGGAGCGCGAGCAGAGGAAGAGAGGAACGAGGAACGAGGAACTCGAGAGAGGAAGAGAAGAGCGAGATGGGAGAGTCGAGACAAGAGATGAGGAAGCACGCAAGCTGCAGACGTGATTTCTGGGGTTCGGGTTGACCTTCGCAGACGATGTGACGCACAGCAGGTGACTCGACTCGAATGGCTGGAACAGATGATCACGGCAGTGGACCCCGAAACGTCGTCCTAAAGGTTAACCGCTCTGGGAAAAAGCATAAAACGAGGCATCAGAAACACGCAGGCCGACTGATCACAAATATGAATCTGCTGCTGCTTCGCTCTGGTCAATCAGCAAGGCTGCCGGCCTGCTTCAGAGACGGTGAGCGAGATGCTGCATGCGCATCCCTGTCCCCTGGAGCTGCCCGTTCCGTATCGTATTGCCATTTCGGGTCACGGAACACTGGTGGTCACAACGGCGGCAATTTAACCCCGTTCCGGACCAATGGGAATCCTGGACTACTGTTATGATCGCGGCTCGGTCACTGCCGCTAAACTAGACTAGGCTTAGGCTGCCACTCCCGTCTCGTACACTCCGCATCCCATACACGACAATACCGCCGATGCATCCAGCACTCCCTCCGCCATGCATCGAATCCGTCGACTGTTCAGCGACCGAAGACGCCATCTCGGCAATGGCGGGTTTTGCGTTCTAGATGACTGTGTGCGAGCAGGAGGCATGGGCATCCAACGCGATGCAAAGAAATGGTGGAATCGCAGACGCAGCTTACCCGCAGGGTGGCGGACATGGAACCTCCCTTGCGACTGTCTGCAGGGCCTCAGACTGGCTGCCTTGCGCTGGACCAACAAATGATGCTCTGTCCAACCCCAGCTCGCAATGCATTTGCCGGAACCTTTTCTGATTGAACTTATTTTGCGCTCAGATTCGACGGCCCCCCGCGTAATCCCTTCTCCTGTCGCCCACGATTCACCCACAGGGGTGGCCGCATGTGCAGGCTGCCAAATCTTCATCACACCCAGAGGAGAATCAATCTCCCGCACCAATCCCGGGAGAAGTCCCAGGGCCTCAAATGCCAGCTCTGGGGCCAGCGTCTGCAGTCAACGTGGTACCGCAGCTTGAATGCTGGCACCGTTGACAACTTTCTTTTGGTCACTCGGGACCTGCCTGTCTAGAATCTCTACGATTGAGTTGTCCTTGGGGGACCACCGGAGCATCTACCTTTCGGGTCGAGAGCCCGCAAGGTATGATTTCCGCCTAGACCCGTTGAACCGCCGTGGGAGATTTCAAAACTCTGAGTTTTGGCTTTCTAGCCGGTGTCTCATCGGCAGCTCCAGTCAGATGCTTGTAAACGGGTAATCTCTGAGTTGATAGAGTGACAGTACGGAGTACATCTGTCAGCGTCTTTCCTGGGAGGCATGGAATGAATTGCCAAACGGGGACAGCTGGCAGCTTGATCAAAGTTATCAACTCATGTAATGGTCATCATAGCTGGGCTTTGATTCAAAAGTAAGCTTCTCTGGGCACCGCGGAAACATCAACCGCGCTCTGCCGCCAGATGAAACAGAGTAGCCGTCACCACCAGTTGAATCGTCGACTGAGCACTCCAAGACAGCTTGCAGCGCAGTGCAAATAGGCTTCCTCCGGAGCAAGATCACAGCTCAACCTCGTGCCAAACTAGGACCCCTCATCACGTTGTGTAGTTGTCGCACCAGCCTGCTGCCTCCTGCGAGAATACCCGAGCCCATCCATCTTTCTCGCGGTGCTTTGAAGCCATCCTTTCCATCTCTCGATGGATGTTGAGCCTCTCGTCTGGCCGCATGGAGGGACCCGTGGCCTCTAATTGGTTGCGCGCAAAAACCGCTTCTCCGGTCCCGCCCGCTGGGTGACTTCGCGGCCTTCACGACTCTCGCTTGGAACCCGAGTCAACCAGCAACAACTCTCGTGTTCAAATAGCGCTGTCGTCGCCCTCGATCGCATCGTCATCATTCTCCTATCCGGCTTCGAGCAGACCCAACGGACCGTCGCTATTGAGAACCAGCCTTGAGAGTTGCCCTGAGCGCATCATCGACTCGCCCCAACCCACCACCTCCGCGAAAGCCACTGCCCGGTCGAACCTAACTCCCCTCACCCGTCGGAACTATCCTCGCTTTGCCGGTGTGAATCCTCTGTCCGAACCTTTTTCCTTTCCCACTATCCAGTTCTCCCCTGCCCCATCAGAGCACCAGAAAACCCGCCGTGAGCCGTGTCACTGCGCGTTTGCTCGAGGGCGCATCAAGGGGAGTCGACAATTTCCAACACGGAGCGGCACATGAGCAACAAACTGTGGCAGTATTTTCTTCAGAATGACGCTGAGAGCTTCAAGACGCTTCTGGCAAATGCCAGTTACGCGCAGGGACATAAAGGAGTGAATCCCGCCTCTAAATTTGGCAGCCCTGGCGCGAGCTTAGCATCGTCGCCGGGCGCCGCATCTAGAGTAAAGCGATCTGCTGGGCCATTTGCCACGTCCTCGCTACAAGAGAAGGTGCCGTTCACGCAAAAGCCGATCACGTTGACGCGTGCCGACGTGAACGCTCGGGACCAGCATGGCCGCACCCTCTTGCATCTTGCTGCGTCTTCTCAGGATGATTCCGCTCTCGAGTTTGTCCACGCGCTTCTTGCGATCCCGTTTCTAGATATATATGCGCAAGATGCTGAAAGCGGTTGGACGGCGTTGCATCGAGCGCTGTACGCAGGCAATACTGCAATTGCACAAGCCCTGTTTGCGCGGGAGTTCAAGGGCATGACGGATTTCCGGGCACCTGGTGGAACTCACCATCCACTTGGAGCCCTTATCAAGATCAAGGACAGGGAAGGAAACAGCCCGTTTGACTTGTTTGGCTCTACAATTGTGGTGCGAGATATAAACCAAGCCTTGCAAGACCCTCAGCCTTTGGAAGGCGACTCAGCCTCAGATTACTCAGTGAACTTGGATGGCCCTGAGGAATATAACCCTGAAGGGAGGCTCAAACCGTTCGTCAATTTCTCCGGAGACGAGGTTTTCACATTTGGGAGTAATAAGAACCTCTCCCTTGGCCTTGGAGACGGCGATGATCGCCAGTTCCCGGAGCGCATCAATTTGACCCGTCCTGACCACCTTCTTTACAGGTTTTACCGCGAGCGGGAAAACTTGAAGCAGGAACAAGGACTGAAGACGGATGAAACCAATGAACCTGGCACCACAGCCGACTTGCCTATAAAAATACGTAGTCAGCCTCTTACCTTCCAGGATGTCAAGATGTCCAAACTGCATACCGCTATCCTTACAGATGACCCAGAATCGAATCTATACATGTGTGGATTCGGTCCGGGTGGGAGATTGGGCACTGGTGACGAAGCTACGAGGTTCAACTTTGTCTGCATTGAAAATGGTGGAGCAGCAGGCAAGAAAATCGTCAACGTCGCGTTGGGCCAAGATCATTCTATTGCAATTTCAGATCAGGGGGAGGTGTTTACCTGGGGAAGTAATAAGTATGGTCAACTTGGCTACTCTCTCCCGAGAACGAACCAAAAGGACGAATTGCCGATTCAGACCACTCCCAGGCAGGTTTTTAATCCGTTTAAGAAGGAAACTATTATCGCCGCTGCGGCGTCTGCGATTCATTCCGTTGTGTATACATCGACTTCAATATATACTTTCGGGAAGAATGAAGGCCAACTCGGGTTAATTGATGCCGATGCACGATCTCTTGAAATGCAGGTGATACCAAGAAAGGTTGGCGCATCGCTTTTCAACCAGCCTATTTCCATGGTATCAGCTATCGACCGCGCTACAACAGTACTGCTAGAGAATCATGATGTGTGGGTGTTTACTCATTATGGATACTCTAAGCTATCATTTCCCCTTGACGGTTCCTCTGCATTCATCCGGGATAGTTTTTCGGCCACTAGGTATGGACTTGCTGCCAATTTCGTTACCAAAATTACTGGCGGTGGGAATACAATCTGTGCGATGACGAGTTTCGGTGAAGTATATACTGTGAATGTCACCCGAAGAGCAGACACCCAGTCGGTCTCCTCTTCAACGACAAATCCATCCAAGATCAAAAATTCGCTTCCTCAACCTTCCTGCGTCTGGTCAGTTCGAAAATCCCTAATGGCTGTCCGGGATGTGGACGTTGGTCAAGACGGCTCGATCATCATCTGTACTGCATCAGGTTCTGCGTGGCGCAAAGAACCACGGAGTCGCTTAAAAGAGACGGGCGGTAATTCATTTGGGGATCGCCAAACGAAGGACTACAAGTTCGTTCGTATACCTGGCCTGTCTCGGGTGGTGGCCGTTAGGAGTAACGCTTATGGAGCATACGCTGCCTCTCAGCGTGGTTATGATGTGACGAAGACCCAGATCGCGGTGGATGATCGTACGCTATGGAGTGATATCTGGCCACTTTCGCCATTCAGGGACCTCCTCACGAAATTCATCCCCGAAGCCACGGCTAAGGGCAATGATATGTCGACTGGACATGAAATGGAGACTGGACAGGTTGCTTCACCAGCTGACATTGAGACTCAGTTAAGACAAGAGCTTCAGTATCAAAAGGTACCTGAGACTTTTCCTGCACTCGTCTGGGTATCATGTACCACCTCAGACATCCGTATCCCGGTACATGAGTTTATGCTCGCCGCCAGGAGTTCTATCCTTAGGCAGGCACTTGCGGAATTTCGCCTGTCATATTACTACTCGATTCCAGATCTGCTTATAATCGAATATAACAATGATGGTCAGGCTCATCTTCAATTCCAGAGTCTGGACTTCCTATCAATGTTTAATTTTGTTTTGTTCGTCTACACCGACTGTGCATATAGTATCTGGAATCGAATCCGATCCGACACAGGCAATGCTCCACGTTACCGCCAAATACGCACCGAGGTGATTAAACTGGCAACGCAACTTGATTTGAAAACCCTTGAAAGAGCGGCAAGATTGATGATACAGCCGAAGCCATGCTTGAACCTCGATATGGAGAAAGCATTTTTGGACCCTACTTTTTTCGATAGTGGTGATGTTATCATTGAACTTGACGGGGGCGAAGTTAGAGCTCACGCACCTATTCTCTGCCAACGATGCCCTTTCTTTAACGCGTTATTCAACGGCCAAGCTGGTGGTCGCTGGCTCTCGTCTCGAATGGGAGCGTCTTCTGATTCTGTTGAAATCATTCGCATCGACTTGAAACATATTGCGCCGGCAATATTCAAATTCGTGTTGCGCCATGTGTACGCGGACACGGATGATGAGCTTTTCGAAGACGTTCGAACGAGTGATTTGGACGATTTTATCGATCTTGTCATCGACGTCATGTTCGTCGCGAATGAACTGATGCTTGACAGGTTGGCGCAGATTTGCCAAAAGCTACTAGGAAGTTTCGGTATGTGCTTTTCAGCTCTTCGCTGTGTTGGATCGGCTGACAGGAGCAGTTGACATACGAAATGTGGTTCCCTTCTTGAACGCCGTTGCGCCTTGCTCTGTTAGCTCTTTCAAACGAGCTGCGCTCGAATACATCTGTCTGAACTTGGAAGTCATGCTTGAAAATAGGTAAAAAAGATCCTAAACTCAGTTAGAGGGTCTAAATTTCTGACTATGATTTTTAGGCTTCTGGATAACCTAGACCCTGAGCTGTTTGATGAACTTGACGAAGTCTGCCGCGAAAATCAGATGACCTGTAACCCCGACTCAAGAAGCCGAAATAGCGAAGAATATTTCGTGGGAATGCACCCGGAGATAATATCCCGCCTTGAACAGGATAAACAGCGCCGAATCGATTCCATGAGACTACGCTCCCATTTGCATGAAGACGAGGATCGAGACCAGAAACTTAAAGTGGGAAGCGTGGAACGGCAGGGATTCCTCTCCCCTACTGCAAGGCGCAAGCCCTCTATGCAGACTTTGAACTCGAAATCATCAATGGAAAGCCCTCTTCTTAGATCGAAGGTATCGGCGGGGGATTTGATTTTCCAAATGGATGATGAGACCGTCCTTTCGCCTGATTTCGAACAAGTGACTCCTCACACCCCAAAATCCAAATTTGATACCAATAACCAAAAGCTAGTTAGCGAGGTGTGGCCAGGCAATGGGCCGCCCCTTGGATCGACATCTCCTAGTGTTCGGCCCCAGTATGAGCGGCCCACGGGGGCACCATGGGGCTCTTTGACTCCCTCTACTCCAAAAGCTGGTCTTAAAGACATTATGGCTGAAACTTCGAGTTCAAATTCGGTCGTTCCTACCTTTATCTCCCGCCGTGAAGCCGATACACTCCGTCCTACCCCGTCAAAGCTCTCCCAAAAGGAACGAAAGAAGATGAAGCAGCAGCAAACGCAAGAGGTACTGTCTGGCGCAGAGGCAACCAAGGCCAAACTGGCTTCACCATGGAAACTCCCCTCAGCAGGTCCAAAGGGTCCTTTCAATGCAGACGAGAAGCAAGACTTTGCACCTCTCCCACCGCAGCGCACGAATAGCAAAGCATCCTTGACCCTCCGCCAGACAATCGCCGGAACCCCTCCCCCGCCGTCTAATGGCGAAATAGAACCATCTTCCTCCTCTCTCTCCAAACCTCAGCCGCAACGATCAGACTTTCAAAACACCAATTCCTCAGCGACCAGATTCTCCAATTCGTCACCGCTACCGCTCGCAGCAATCCTCCAGCAGCAACAATTTGAAAAAGACGTCATCCGCGAAGCTGCAACAGCCAAACACAATCTTCACGATATCCAAGTCGAACAAGAGTTCCAAGCATGGTGGGACGCGGAGAGCAAGCGCGTTATGGAGGAAGAAGCTGCAGCGGCGGCAGCGGCGGCTACATCCGTTTCCACTGGCCGGGCTCGAAGCAGTGGGAGAGGGAGAGGAAACGGAAGAGGAAGCAATGCTAATGGTACTGGCAATAACAAAACTCGTGGAAAGGGGCGCGATTCAGGCGCTGGTGGCGGAGGCAGTCAAGAACAGACCGCCGCCGTGCATGCGGGATCTACACCATCAAACGAGCCTGGTGGCAAGCATACATCCAGCCATCATCAACCACGTGGTGGGCGAACCAACGACCGTGGTAGGGGTGACGGCCCTGCTCGTGGTAGAGGTGGCGTGAGTCGTGGCCCAGGACGCGGCAAAGGCAAAACCTCACAACCGCGACAATGATTTCTCAAATAGAGAAGTTGTGAAGAGGTGGGTTTAAACAAACAAGAAGTCGAGCTGTTGATGATAGTGTGATGTAAATATATCTTTGATCTACAATTGTTTTGTGTATAACTAATTGTAAAATACCACTTTAAATATGCTGATGTTGAATTATGTATAAAATAGAAGGTTGCCAGCCTGTCAGCTAAAGGCATGCCATACTAATGGTCCAGAAATCTGATGTACATACAAATATTACTGCATGAGGAAGAAAGGCCTTTACCGGCATCAGTCCAAACAAACAAAGAAACGAAAAAGACGGGGGCGAAAATAGCGCTGATATGGCGTCATACATGAAGAATCAATTTAAAGAAAGAAATGATCAATACCCAACTCATGAAGACGCTGTTCAGATGCAGAACTCTAGATATCAGACTCCATGGTTGAGGTTGGAATCCATAACCGATGATTGCCCCTGAATCCACGCGGCGGTTATCGGGACGATTTCAATTCAACTACTGTCAGTTCCGCCAAATTTGTCCTTTGAGATCGACGATTGCTGCGACGAGTGGTTGTATAGCCCAGGTCATCCGATATAGTAGCTTGCCCAATGATTTGCATGCAAAAGGTGAGGGCAATTAAATTTCAAGAAATGCAACAAGCAGTCGCTAACCAACCATATGCCAAACAGAAACAATGAATAAGGCTAGGAGGAGATAAACCAGAAAGATGAATGGGTATTCAAGCCAAGAAAACGGAAGAGGGAAAAGCGTGATGAGTGAAAGGAGACTGAAGGGAAAAGTAAGTGTATGAGATGTCTATGCTGCTTATTCTCCAGCAACGGGGACCTCTCTGCTTTCCCACATCCTCCGGATTAACAAGTCAGTGTCCGTGGGATAGTATGGCGCGGTTTCACCAGATTGTCCATCACCAGGGTCGTCTGAATTTTGTTCTTGCATGTCTCCGTCCGGTATTGCGTGTTTGGACGAAGGGCTTTCTACGTGTAGCCGATCGATTCCTTGCTCCGCTTCTCCTTCTTGCTCTTGGAATCGAACCTGGCTCGATTTCGAGGGTTGAACTTTACTAAGAAATTGGTTCCCAACTAATGACTCTTTGGTTAAAGCACTAGTCAATAGATTATCCCGAGATGAAGGGACGAGATGGGCCATGGCCGTTGGCAAGATCACGCATAGAGTTAGCTCTTGTTAATTTTCCACCTGCGTTGGATCCTGGGTATCTGGCGGAGTCGCTTAAAACTGTCGACAACTGGGTTTCTGAATCGGTGAACGACAGAATACTCTGTGCTAAACCTATCGTATATTTTTCGAACGCGCCTGCGTTCACTATCTGTTGGTGCGCCAGCAGGCCCGGCCCGGCCCCCATCGCAAATCGGCGACTGTCCTGCGCATAACCACTGGTTCCTGGGCGGCTTTGGGGACCGGCGTAACTGGAATCTACCGCAGAGGTTGGAGGAAGGCCGGAGATAGAAGTATCAGGAGGTGAATTAGACATTGTTGCCGTTCGTTGTAGCCATAGCTTCTGCTGAGTGCGAGAATGGGGCTCAAGGGGTCCATTGGCGGAGGGTTTGGGAGACTTTGACCGTCTGAGCGTAGATTCAGGAGACGGCGGAGTTCGAGGGTGGTAATGTGGGAGGAAAGAGGATGGGGTCGCAGGGTCGGATTCTGAACGCGGCTCAATACGGGGGCCGGAGTTGTTTATTAGAAACCTGGATACACCGCCTTCGGCGGAAGAGGAAGCAGCGTGAGGGTTACTTGAAATCATCGAAGTTGGCGCAGACGGTGCGGGAGAGTGGCTAATGGCGCTAAGACTGGAAGCTAAATTCGCAAAGGAAGACGAACGCGGGGTCCGATTAGGGGGCACAGGAGTAGCTGTTGCCGATATTGACGATATTGAAGGAGGGATCTTCGAGGAATGTGGTTGCTGCAGGATACGTGAAGCGACAAGGTGTTGGTCCGAAGCATGGGAACGTAGACTTGCAACCCTTGGGTCCTTTCCAGAAGTGTGGTCGTCCTGAAATGGTTCATCTCGGTGTAGACCATTCTTGTCGTTGACATCTGCGGTACGGCTCTCCTGCGTAAGCGGAGATTTTGTAACGGAGGCAGAGCCAGTCAGGCTGTTCTGTCCATTCATCTTCCCTGATACAACGGAATTCCGCCTAGTGCTGGATGCTGAAATGGAACTGTGGTCCTCCCACTCGTCCTCATCTCCCGAATCTGCAAGTTCAAACCCAACAGATTTCTTTATATCAGAGCTTTCGGCTTTGTCGGCAACGTTCACTGCTAGGTTCTTCTTAACCAATATGCCGGAACCATTTCGTTTGAGGACAGGGGTCGACAAATTTTTCCTCACTGGGCCGTTGGATGGAGGGCCTGGAAGCGATATTATCGACTGATTCCAGCGGACGTGGTTCTGACCCGTCCGCGGGCTAGTCGAAGGCGAGGCGGGAGCAGACTTCTTGCGTTGATGACGAGGGGCAGTTGGGGGACCCGGTACCCCGTCAGCAGCCAGGTTATGCGCAAGCGCCAGCCTTTGCAGTTTATTCAGGTTCTTATGCGAGTGCGTGCGTCCATGCACCCGATGTGTACCGACAACATGCGGGCGATGCGGTTTATGGGCTGTCGGCTTGTGGGGCTGAGGATGGGCTGCAGGAGTGGAGGGTGAATGCTGGGAGGTGGAAGAATGGTCCGATGGCGCCTGCGGGAAGGATACCGAGCGCTTAACCGGCGAAACGGAGTGGTTCGATGGCATGGCGACGAGACTTGAAGTCGGCGAGCGGTTCGTTCAACGAAAGCAATCCTGCATTTGTGAAATATCCCCACACGGAGTCGCGAATGGAACCAACACGCGATTCTTTCCAGGGATGACAGGCAATGCGAGACAGGAGGCTTCCAAGCGGATCGATCGAAGAAGCCCGAGCGCGTCAAGTCGTAATTGGGCAAAGTGGTTGTGAGAGGCCAGCGAACAGGCGAATGAGGTCACAGTTGGGCAGCAGAGAGAGGAGAACGCGCACCAGTGAAGAAGGCTCACAAACGAGCATTGAGCAGCCGCAGCAAAAACCACGACTATCACTCCCGGCTCGAAGATCAGAGAAATGTCGCGGATTGTGCGTGAAGATTCAAAAACACAGAAGATATAGCAACAGGCGACGACGAGGTGCAGAAAGCGCCGTTGCGCCCGAAAGCGGCAGTCGGGGGCAAAGGCGGTGAGCAGGCACGTGACATCTAGCTTCACCCATACCGGAAAAATGGATTTTTTGATTACCATAATATTACAGTAATATAACCATACATCCAATCATATGTGTCATAGCTTATGTTACCATAACCCTACAGTAATGGAATCCCACTACATTGCCATTGCCTGTTCAGAATCCCAACATAGTCACCAGGTTGTTGTATATTGATCTACATAGCATGGTAAGGAGGAGTTCTGAATGTAAGATTACTTTATTGAGACTTCTATCTAACACAGCTACCTAGCTATCTAGCTATCTTGCTATCTTCAGATTTCTGAGCTGCCAGCCAGCTTCAAATCATAACAACAACATCTTTCAGGTGCAGTGGAGAAACATACTCAGTAAGTGAAAATCCAACATAAGTTTCTCAGTGTCAGCACTGACTGATATTGTGTGCAAGCTAGATCTGTGGATTGTCAGAAGATCTATCAGATCAGACTTCTCTCTTCTCATCTGCAGAATCAGCAAGTTCAATACTGCATCACACTTGATTTTGTGAATCTGAGCTACTGCAAAGAATATAAGATGCTGCCCCTCCCAGCAATGTGTGAAAATGTCTGTGATTTGCTCTATTTTAATGCTCAATATACAGATATATTCAATAATATCACCAAGAGCTATTGTTGTTCAATAAGCATTATTACAGAATTCAAACATAGTCTTCTTGAAGAACTGAATTGAGATGGATCCAAATTCATTTATGTTGAGTATATATCAGTCTTTTCTGTATGATTTCTGCAGTTGCTGGAGGAATGGGTCAAGAATTGACAGTTTTGACAGATGTGTCATCAGAATTCTGAGTGCTTGAATGTCTTCATCTGACTGTAACTGGAAAAAAATATTAGACACAATATGTATGTCTGTTAGTCTGTATTGTGGCTCTGGAATGCCAGAGCCTTCATCATCACTCTGATTATATGTATCCAGTTGCAGCAGTTCAGTTATCAGTATGAAACATTCACAGTGGAGAATCTAGAGACAGTCTGTAGCAAGAGGCTTCAAATCAATAAAGGAATCAGTCAACAACAGAGATAGAGTGTGTTTAAAACTTTTCTATATAAGTAATATCTTTTCAACATCTTGCTTGTTGATTTTCTGTACTAGACTCTTGTATTTGTGATGCTTATTCTTCTCAATCAACATGTTGCAGTTGTTTGCAACTTCATATTCCTGTGTCTGATCAGTATAGTGTATCTCAATGTGCATGTTGGAGCAGTTCTTTAATGTATTCAAGACTTTTCCTGTCTTTGATGCAGTGCTACTTAACTGTTCAGTTGGGTTCTCTATTTATAATGTCTGACTTGATATGGAGACCTGTCAGAATCATAAAATCATAAGTGCTTGATCTTCTAATTGTGGCAGCTCAGTGACTGTTGCAACAGTATCTATTATCTTCTGTAGCAGAAAGCAGTCTTCTGTCATAATAGTCTGAAGCTTTGTCAGCTCAATTAATGTTTGTAATATCAATGCAGAGTTGCTCTGAGCAACAGCACTGAATGCTTTAGCAAGAAGCATACATAAAGCTCTTAGTTCAAGTGTTGTATTATTAAAGAAATTGCATAATGCCTGCTGTACTACTGGTTGAATTCAGTCTGGAGTCATGACATACTGAAGAATAATCAGAATTATAATGGACACTCAAGCATGCTTCTGAATCTGATAGAAGTTCAAATAAGTTATCAGAGACTGTATTTGACTGTTCTATTTTGTAAATAAGAACTGCTGTAATATCCAACAGTATTCCTTCTGACCATTTGCTGTGAGAATATATGTTATTAACAGTGAATGCACCATTTTGGAAATACCACTTAGTTCACTATGACAGAAATCTGAGAGAAAGAAGGTCATCAAATTCAGACATGAACAGATTTCAAATATTGGAGACTGATTTTTTGTCATTTCATGCTCCTTTCACAGCTTGTCTCTCACAGCAGTGGTGGATGCTGTATTAATTCAGTTTCATATATGAAGTTGCTGATAGTAATATTGATTATTGATCACTGTATCAAATGACATATTGTGTCTCTGATGTTCAGCAACAGTGCAACTTCAACATGATCAGATGGCTGAGAGTCTTTTAATTGCTGCATTGTTGTTCTGCTGTGACATGTCATTCAAAAAAATAAGATAGAAAGCAATTACTCTGACAGTTTCTTCATCAGCAATTTCAACATCAATATCTTTGTCAAGAGATCAGAATTCCAGTGTGAGTGCATCAATCAAATCAGAGAAGTTTGTCACATGCAGTCTGAATGAGATGGTGTAGACATTGTTTCTCCTTCTTCTCTCAGAGACAGAAAGTCCAGCAGAAATTAAATAGAAGTCTGTAATGTTTCTGTATATATTGTGGTATAATTCAAATCCATTAATAAAAAGCTGGAATGGAACAGAGATAACTCATATTATTATATGATCAGAACAGAGCATTCTCTTGAGATTATCTCTGCTATAGTGAATGATCTCCAGTTCCTCATGCAGAAAAGTACTGCAATTAAGTGAGCAGATATCTATTCAGTTGTTGATTATATTGAGAATCTGATACATAAAGTATTCAGCATGTGTAGGAGGTGGATCTTGTGAGTTTCTGTTGAAGATATAGTCAAGAGAAACATTCAGTTGACTGAGTATATTTTCTTCATGTAATAAAATCTGTCACTCTTTATTCTCTAACAAGAGCAATTTCCTCTTGTGGAAAGCCAGTCTCATGTCTTGGAATAATGTACTGCCTGGGTTGGGATCATGTTAAATAGTAGATTGAATTCTCAGAAGAATCTTGTCAGATTTCAAGATATCAGATTTTCAATTTCAGATGACAAATTGAATTCTTTCTATATAAAAGACATGCTGTCTCACTCTGCATGAGCATTCATTTAGACTGCACCTGTATCAAACAAAATCTGAGAGAAATACTGATTCTTCATTAGAATATCTTGTAAAGTCTTCTGAAGTAGATCTTGCAGAGCTATCCCAACTGAGGAACTGTCATAATTCAGTTGAATCATCTACCAACTCAGCCATGTTAAAATGTACATTCCAGTGAAATTCTGATGACCAAGCAAGAGCTGTAATTAGAGCAATAGAATTCTGAAAGAATAAATCTGACTGTAACAGAGCTCTGAGTAGATTTCTGCTTGCAGCAGATAATGATGACATCTGCTGCAGAATGATTGAAATGAATATTTGTTGAATGAATAAAATGGAGAACTGTGATCTACACTTTCTCTTCAGAACACTAAGATTTTTGAGTAGAGATTTGATGATATAGATATTCTCAAGTAGATTGAGTATTTCTCAAAGTGATTGATACTGCTGATGAGATATCTCTGACTGTTCACACCACAATTTCAGTGCAATTACAAAGTAGCTGAGATTCTCATGTTTTCTGATCCTCATGTGTGGCATCATCTGGAAAGTATTGTCTTTCATATTTGGAATATCACTTTCAATCAACTGTCTGTCTGCTACATCTGTCAATACAGAATTGTAGATAATATCCTCATCTTCATTGAATTCATCAATATCAGATAACATATGCACAAGAATCTCTTTGATAATGTCATCAACTCTTGTGCCTTCCAGTTCAGAATCAACATCTGAGATGTTGAAGATGACACTGTTCTGCACATCTAACAGTAAGTTCAAAGATCTACATTCAAAGAGAAAGAGAAATGAACATACTGCTGAATTATAAGCTTCTTCAGCATCATTCAGATCTGCAAATGTATTGAATTTCAAAGATATATGATCTTTCAGTGGCACCTCTGACATAGCTGGGGTGTCTGCAGTTTACTGTAACTGCATAGCAGCTTTATAAATCTGACTCCATACAAGAAGTTCCATAAACTTCTTATGATTTCTGTGGACCATGTTGTAGCTGGGGGGTGGCTGATTAAAGAGAAGAGTTGGAAAGTTGAGAAGTTGCAGCAGACAGAATTCTGATTATCAAATAGTACAACAAACAATGTAAGAATTATCAGTATGTAACACTGAAAATGAAAGAAAGAAAGATTTAAAAGATCTTTAATGAAGTTTTGATCATATACTTATAGATGAATGTGGAGCAGCAAATCAATGCATGATATTGAAATCTGCAGATCTGCAGGCTTCAGATCTGCAGATTAATAATTTCAGTCAGAATAATTGATCTGCTCAAATGCAATGCAGAACATTTATAAAACTGATTAGCTTGTTGCAATTAGTTTCAGAGACACAGTCTTGTCTCAGAGCAGTTCTTTTATTAAATTAAAGTTCATCATATTGACATTATATCTTGCTCTGAAACATATTTATATAAGAATGTGCTTTCCTCCAGCTACCCATCTTCTGAAAGATCAAGATCACTACACTGTCATTAATATTAGTCATGACAATCACATCTTCAGTCACTTCAGCAAAGCACACACTTCTCTAAATAATAGCTGTCAATCTGAAACTGAGAGCAGTGGCTTCATTCTTTACTTCCATTATAATCACTGCAACAGAAGAGGAAAACACAACCAATCCAAAGCTTGCACATTTAATGACATTTCATATGACTGTGCTTTACATCAAGAAGGTGAGCACTAGAGAGAAGACTATAATTATCAGATTGAAATGAATGTACTTTCTAACACTGAGCTATAACAGAATCTCAGACATTATTCAGAACATCTACTTCTCTCTTGATATTGCATGCAGGACAGAGTATTGATGTTTCAAATATGAGAGATGGGTGAGAGATATAGTGAAGAACTGAAAATGTATTGCTTTGAAGAGATTCAAGATAAGTTCTCCATCCATTCTTATATAAAGAAGTTCATTAATCAGAGTACCTACAGGCACATATTAGCAACATCATGAAACTGAGCTTTCAAAAGAACCTCAAGTGTGGGATACATACAGTGAAAGACTCATTCAAGCTCATCAGTTATTTTGTGAGAGAATTCAACATTGGTGGCTTCCACAACATGTTTCACTGAATGATTAAACTTCTGAATATCAACAACAGTTCATCATGAGAAAAGTGATTTATAAAGCATAAATTAAGTCTATACATTTGCAAATGAAGTTAATTAGTTCTAACTGTTTGATATAGAGATATATGCAAATCTTGCAACCCAGATGAAGCTCTTTCTTGATGTTAATGAGCAGAATCAGATCTCTAAAGATGTCAGAACACTCAGTCAGTACTGGAATATTATTATAAAGAAGTCAGAGCTCTGTAATATTGCACAGAATAACTTTGCAGAATTAAAGATGTTGTCTACAAAAGTATCTCAGCAACAGTCTAAAAAAAAGATCAAGATACTTGATGATATCATACTGACAAAGAAAATGCCCCCAAAGAAGTCATCAAAGAGGAAGTTCAAATGAGAGCCACTCAAAAAGATACAGCAGCCCACCAGAAACCCACCAACCACACAGAAAACAACTAATGGAGGTCAAGCTCTATCAGAGAAAGAAGAAGATGATGATCAGAACTTTGAATCTCTTCCTCCTTCAGTGCAAGCAACAGTTTCAGCACAAGCAGCAGTTCCAGCACAAGCAGCAGTTTCAGCACAAGCAGCAGTTTCAGTGCAAGCAGCAGTTCCAGCACAAGCAGCTGTTCCAGTGCAAGCAGCTCCTCCAGTGCAAGCAACAGTTCCAGCACAAGCAGCTGTTCTGATGCAAGCAGCTCTCCTGATGCAAGCAGCTGCCACACTGGGAGTAATGATCCCTCATATACAGACAAGAAGAGAACAAATAGCTGCAATTAAAGCAGCTCCATCTCAATTAAAGAGAACATGTCAGTTCTAGAGCTCTGCTAGCAAACACAGATTTGTGATGGAAAAGAATGTTCAATTTCAGAGTAGATACAACTGCAATAGATGTTAGCAAATGCAATACTTTATTATAAACTGTTTTACTTGTCATACCTTCATTAAATTCAATTGCAAATGTCATAAAAAGAGCTCCTGGTTAAGATAGGGGCAGATTGATATAGTTATAATATTTAGAGAAGACAGTGCAAATTAAACTCACCAGAATCTCAGACAAACATGAATCCATAGAAACATATCTCAATTAGAAAATCAAAACATTCAGATCTCTGATATATGTAAATATCACATATAAATCTCATCTTCTCTTCTTTTTCTCTCCTCAGCCACTTCTCATTTTCATCTTCCCCCCCCACCCACTATTAATTTTTGAGTAAGTTGAGGAATTCTGAATGGTTTCTGCAAATATACAGCATTAGTTAACAGATATAGCTTTTTTTTTTTGACAAAAATAACTTCTCACAGAAGTGTGCATGTCTCAGCTCTCACCACCACTCCCACAACTGCTCTCTCTCTCTCCCCCCAATCCACAATGTGTGACTGCAAGACTGATGACAGTGAGCACAAGCTCACAGTATGTCTACACTGTGTAGACTGAATGTACACAATGCATCTTGACAAGCCCTGCAACTGCCAGCAGAGAAATAACAAGATGTGCAGTAACTGCACATCCATCAAGAAAGCTTGTGTGTCAGTCAATAAAAGACACCATGAGTAGATCTTGATGCTTCTGACTGCTTACCAGAAATTCAAGCTGATGACAAACTCTCTTGTGAAAGAGATGTACATCACCAATCTCTGTCAGCTTGCTGCTGGTCTTCTCAACATCATTAAGAAGATAATAACTGTCTCAGCTTCTCTTCTGTTCTCTGTCACTGCTGCTGCTGCCCCACTCTCACTTCTCAGCATGAATGCTCTTCTTGTGCTTCAGAAGGAGCAAAAAGACCTCTTGAAGACAATTCTTCAAACTTTTGTTGTAAATTATCTATACATTTATTAGTCAAATTATACTGATATATTTGAATAGCAAATTGAAACTAAAGTGGACTCTCTTAAAAGCAATGTTGCAGCTCTCTGAAAGAAGATCAAAAGTCTTTCTGCTGGAGGCATGAGTAGTTCAGAATTTCATGAATAATGAATTGTACTGACAGGGTATATAGAGAAAAAGAAAGATTGAAAGTCCCACTGTCAGTCTGTCAGCAAAGTCTGCTCATCTCATTCTTCTCCTTCAGATGACACCAACTCCAGTCCCCCATGTCTTGTTTGGTGGTGTGTCATCAGCTGCACCTGACTCCAGCCAGGTTTTTGAGACTCTGTGGAAAACCACAGAGCAAATTTCATTGCCTCCATTGCAGTTCTTTATGTCTGTTATGCCATTGTCATCCCTCCCCACCCCTGCCAAAAGCCTGGTTGACTTCAAGTCCATTTTAGCAGACAAAGAAATGAAGGAGGTCCAGAAGGAGCATGATTTCATTTTGAAGAACTGATTTTTTTGTATTTTTGCCTTCAGGTGGGTGGGTGGGTGGGTTCTTGTTTTTATTCTTCTGTTTTTGCCTTCAAACAGGTGGGTGGGAGGGTTTTTAAAATAGTTTTTACCAATGGCACCATTCTTCCTTCCCAATCAGAATTCCAAACTCATGCATTTCAAGTAGTTACATAGGTGACCCTTCCTATGGATTTCTGATTTAAACATTGATCTCATGAGCTTCTATGTGGGTTCTACATTCTTGGCATGGAATCTACATATCGGATTGGATGAATGGTAATCCGACGGTATTCAAAAAATCCATTTTTCCGGTATGGACCGCAAAGACAAACTACGATGCAAGACTGCAGGCTGGATACGCGGTCGATGGTAGAAGAATGGTCTATCTAGGTCAAAAGGTAACTAACTAGCTAACCCTCGATATCCCCAACTCCGCTTGAGGTGTCAAGGACCGCCCGTTTTAAGAATACATCTTTGGGGTT